TCATAACACAAAGCACGGCAATTACAGGTTAAACGCTAGTAACACCCTGGATACGGCAGTAAACTAGAATATTTCTATAACAAGGCACATTTGCAATCTAACAAATTCTAACTTATTTAGAAGGCTATAAAATAGTTGGCGCAGGGTATAAATATTCTCTCTTACCTAAAACTTGTCAGAAGAAAGATCCTTCTCCATTGTTGTCACCTCCAGTGCCCCCTCTTGCCACCATGGAGATTGGTTCTGCTATGTTTATTGCTCTGTGCCTCAGTTACAGCCGTGACACTAATCTGCCTGCACAGACCAGCGAAGGGGTCTGTGTGAGTGTGCGAGTGTGTGTGTATGTGAGAAAAGAGAGCCTGCTGACTTCACAACTGGGATCCTAAACCTCAGGCCAAGTCAAGGCTGAATGAAAATGATCAAAGCTCTGTCCCTCATCAACAGAGTAGACAAGATTTCTCTACCCCCTCCCAATGAGAAGTAGGGCTGTCATTAGGGATTCCCACTAAAAAGCCTCTAACAGAGGCAGACCTTCTCCAGACTGCTAGTGCCTGCCCAGCAGCCCGTGCAGAATACAGGTAGCTATTGTTCCTGAGACAGATATGTAGCCAGCCACTCAGACTCTGACAGATCTCAACAAACCAGTGAGCCTGCCTTCAATTTAACTCTTTATTTACTAGCGCTTCACTTTTTACAAAGATCTCCTTTGCCCTGGAGAGGGAGGGAAAGGGAAGGGAAAAAAAAATCAGTAAATTGTTCTGGTTTTATTAAGAAAAATGTTTCACGTACATAGGCAGTAATCCTATGCAAATTTAGGAGTATTGACTTTCATTTTGAAATCTTGTCTAGTCTGGTGTTGGACAACACAGCAATAGCACACTTCAGCAGTAAAACAGGATTCTAATCCTGAAAGGGAAATAATTCCTGCTCTGCCTTCCTCTGAATTCTCATAATTCATAGGGAAATAAAACAGTTTGAATAGATAACATGTATCTTTGCTCAAATATTCTAGATATTAAGACACAGAGAAGTTTAGTGCAAAGGCTTCAGCAGTTTTTCCACCAGACATCAGTTTTAAGCATTGACGGAAAATAAAGGCAGCATCTCCAGCAGAAAACTGTGCTAGAGCAAGTACATAGTTGGCCGGTTAGTTGGCATAAGAAGGAGAGATACTCATTTCAGTCTCATAGCAGTTTTATATTTTGATACAGAGATTTTACTTGCACAAAAAGTTGTGGGCTTTTCTTAATTTTATATGACACAGAGCTTAAGTATTTATTTGCAAAGACAGAGTCAATGAAGCTGTTAGACAAAACATCCTGACATTTACACTCTGTGCTTGACTTTTAGGAAGTCTAGCATTATTATATGAAAAGCTAATGACTCTGCATTCTGTATAACTATTATATAAGTTCAGCTCAGGTGTAGACTTCAGCTTTAAAACACTTTTTTCCCTTCTGCTTTCCCTTCTTCTGTCTAAGTCAGTCTTGACTTCATTTCAAGCAGGCTGCAGTAGGATATGTATATGCATGGGTATACTTGCCTTAAGGTGTGTGGGTTGTATTGTTTTAAGGTAATTTTAAGGCATAAATGTTGAAGATTACCAGCAAAATTTTCACATGGCAATAAAATCAGATTTATAAAAAGCACAGTTAAAAAAAAAAGAATTGAGACTGCTAACACAAGTGCAAATTACAGACATGATGTCAAAACCAGTATTTTAATGTGGCAGACCCTATCAACTCAGAGAAGCCTCCTCACGCATTACAAATAAACAATCATTTTATCAGCAACTTTCAACTGATACGCTAAAGAAACTACATGTGATTTAATTTGAAAGTTGACAACTGTCACTTTAGAGCATTTCAAAGCAATCTTTTCTGTATGTATGGGAATTTAAGTACATTCCTACAAAAGTGCCAGGCATCCAGTGCCTTTCAAAATTCTTCCAGTGCAGTGAGGAAACAAGCAGACAAACAGGAAAGCAAATCAGTGCTACTCAGTGTAACACACCCTGTGTGGCAGAATACCTCTAGACTACCAAAGGCATTTTAAAGAATCAGGACTTTACATTCAGAAACTTCATTGCTGTTTAATTCCAGAGTATCTCTTTCATATCAACAGTAATATCAGTCTTTAACGTTGGACTCATCAGTTTATGTAAATGCCTGGCGTTAGGTAGGAAAAAAAAGCTTTCAATTATAAGTATGTTTACATATTAATAGTGTTCTTAGATAATAAAAAGATTAATTTATTATGAATTCTGAAGCATTGTGCACCAGTTTCCCTTCTATTTGAGCAAACTGGTAACAAAGTATTGCCAGTGAATGGAATTAAAGATTGATGGGAAAATATATGCCAAGAAGGTCCTCTGCTGCTAGGGTACAGCACGAAAAAGCTGTGCCAGGCCTTGCAGGTGAGAATGTGGTCATGAAGCTGTAATAACAAAAGACTGTGGACTACACATTACTGCTTGAGAACATCTACCCTACCAGCATGCACATACTGCTGAAAAATGGAGAGTACCAATAACTCTCCCATGGAAAGCCTGGTCTGAAGCCCCACCAAGGACCATGTGACAAGCTCATGGTCATATTTGATTTAAACCTCTGGTTAGGCCTTGCTAAGTGTAATAACCTTGGGATATTTCTCCTTGAATCAAGGATCCCACGTGTCTTCCAGAGCCATGTTATCCTGGTACGTCCTCATCTGCTGCGAGCTTGGTATCTATATGAATTTGCACACCATTCAAAAATGACACAGCGTTAGTAATTACCACTTTATGGGAGGATGAGAAGGAAAACTTTCTGAAAGGAGCCCATGTCAGAGCTGGGCACTTCTTGGGAAGTTTGAGAAGTTGGCGCTTGCTATGAAGGTGTGACCTCCTCCTCCTCCTCAGAAACCCTCTCTGCTTTTATTGAAGCAACCCCCAGGCTGCATCCATGAGGGAAACAACTTTTTTCAGGTTTTGAGGCAAGACTGGAGAGAAGTATTCTGCCCAACGGCTTTCACAATCTCTGGAGGTCACCTCTGAGTGGGACAATGGCCACTCTTCCCAGCCAAGTCACTAGTAACAGATGTCTTGCTATAAAGTACATATTTATGGGATTTATGTAAAGGGTGATGTTTGTTTACACTGATTGGCACTAATTGGCACTATTTTTTTCTCTCTTTTTTTTTTTTTTTAAACAACAAAGCCCACACAAGCACAGAGGAGAATGGAAAAGCGGGCTCCTTAAGGGGGAGGAAAACCAAGGCATTTTTCCTTTTTTTTTTTTTTTTTATTGTACTGCTCATCTATTAGAAGCAGGCATTATGGGCACAACATTGGACAAGTAATCTCATGTACCATAGGATATTTGAACAGTTTAATGGATTTCCCAAAAGGAGAGCAAAAAGAAAGCCAGGTATGTCTTGTATAACAATCCTGCGTCTGAGAAATTTGCTTGGGAACAGACTGCTGGAGTCACTTCTTTCAGCTAACCCACACAGCCCCACTTTGTGAACAAAGCCGCATACCAGTATCACATATCCATTTTCCTTTGGAGATTCCATTTTAATGGTTCTGTAGTAAATACCTTTGTATTTAGAAATTATTCATACCAGATATTCAGTAACTAACTGTCTAATAGAGGCGAAATGCACATAATGTATTCAAATATGCAACCTCAATTAACCTTTTGCCTCAGTTTGTGGACAAACCTATCTATAAAAAGTGAGCTCCCCCAAGATCAGAAGTCAGTTTTACAACTTCACATTGTTTATGGCTAGTTCCCTATATAAAAGAACATAACATGAGGTGATCTTCACGAGCTGCAATTCAAATTTAACTCATTGTTATTCTTGATCTTCATTTTCTTAATATAAAAGCTACTGTAAAACATCATATGAGAAAGCATTGATTTTTTAACTTTTTTTTAACCATGATAGTTTATTTAAAATGTGGTAACTAGATTTCATTTATCTCAGAAAATACTGGAAAATGTAAGAGAGAAAACATAAAGATATAAAAATATTTAGACTGGAGACAGTGCCTGTTTTGCTTTGGATGTGGGCAAGTACAGCACACAGTTCAGAAAAGAACTTACAATTAACATATGTTCAACTATATTTGTACACTGCAATATAAAACAACCTGGAATTACAGTTGATTAAGTATCCTTAGTCTTCCCCAAAATTTTATATGTATATTATTAAAATGCTGTGCTAAAGAGCACAACTTTTTTTCCTCTCAACTCTTTTACAGAAACATAATTAGGGTATTGCATTCTCCCCAAGATGCTTTGTGAAAGCAAATGTCAGGGATTACGACTCAGCAAGATGATTACAAACATTCTGCATAAAAGCATAGGAAACCAACATCAGAGGTACATTTCACCAGTTCATGTTCCTCCTACAGATTACACTTTTGATATGTGTTCTGTTGGGAAAAATGAGTAGATGGCAGTATCTTTTTTTTTCCTCCCCGATTACTGTAGAGTTAATATCAACAGACCAAAACACTGTTCAAACAAATGCTTTTCTTTTCATAAAGTTCCAGATTCTGAGTCCCAAATACATACTTTATAAAACCTCACTCCATTCAACATTGAGCCCAAACGCTTGCCTAGCTAACTAGTAGTACATGAATTGCAGCAACAGGACATATACACACATTGTAGAGTGAATTGAACCATCTCTTTTGAAAAAGTTTACTTTTTAGATCAGTCTTGTACCCAGTTCCATATTAAGACCAGAGATAAACAGAATAAATAGAACAAGATATTTTCTTTATAAAAAAAGAAACAAAAAACCCACAAAACATATCCCAAACCCACAAAACAACACCAGCACCACCCCAAATGTGATGAGCATGAATAGAATTTTTCCCCTTGCTTCCTTAAGAACACTGATTTAAATAATCAGACTACATTACAGATATTCCAGTTTGATAATTCACTTGTTAGCAGGAATTAATATTTATCAATTGTTTTAATCATCTTTGATGGATTTGGACCTACCGTTTTAAGCACTGATCCACGGGAATTGCTGTTTTTGAAGGTCCACTTTTTGAAGTAAAGTAGCTTGATGGAGAAAAACAATTCAGGACTCCCCCTGTAGCTTCAACCTGCTGTGGATAGTTTTCTTCCTTGGAATCTTTTGATAAAAGTCAGAACACAACCTGATTTATTAATGTAGCAAAGTCATTACAATTCAGAGCTAAAAATGTTATTGGACTTCCCTCCAGCTAGTGCTGCTTAAGGAAGCCTTTAAAAAGCAATTTAATTACATTCCACAAAGTCAAATTTCCCCCCCAGATAATTGGTTTTCATTGTACGCATAAAAAGCTGCAATGAAGCCAATAAGTCAAAATCATCATTTTTTAGATTTATATTTATTAATGAAAGACTGACCTGCTTTAGACAGAATTGTATTGTCTGTGTTTTTCTACTGTTAACCTGAAATCTTTCTGTTCAGAGTATAAGCACACACTATAGTAGCATTCACCAATGTACTATGACATCAGAATATAATCAAGAATTCTTCTGGCCTCTTACATTTATAGAAAAATAACTTTATACTGTCATCTGTCATAGATTAAATTTTCATATATAAACTTATTGAACAAGAGTTAAAATATTCACACTGTTTAGAGAGCTTGAAACAGTCGGAAAGTACTTGCCTGGCTTCAGTCATTATCAGTATATTTTAAAACTGCCATACTAAAACAAATACTAAAACCTGTTATTGTGTGTATATATATAAAATACAATAATATATATTACCAATGGGTATATTTATATTCCAAGAGCCTGGGAACAACAGTGCTCTTTAGAACATCTTGAAACATCAAACTTGTAAAGCTTGTACACTAATTACAGCACAACAACAAAAAAAAAGAAATCCAAAAGCTATCAAAGTCGTAAATGCAAAAACAGGCATGAAATTTTTCCATAATTAAAAAACTTCACAAAAACCTCACAATCAATGAAGCCCTAATATTGTTTACAGCAGATACATATGACTAAAAGAAAAATCTTCCATCTAAAGAAACCAAACGGAATAAAAAGACTTACCAGATATCTTATCTTGTTTTGAATTCATGTATCTTTTTTCTTTTTTCTTTTTTTTTTCTTAGTAAAAACAAGGAGATTCAAATTTAAAAGCTGTATTAGTTACTGTCCTTCTGCTCCTGCAGCTCTTCAGTTTTAGGTACAGAGGAGCTTGGCTGGTATTGTTTTGAGATAAAGAGAATGGCCTGTGTGAGCCAAGATATTCTGCACTGTCTGATGATCTCTGCAGTGCTCTTAAACTCCTCCACCGAGACAGGTATTTTTTTGCTGTCTGTTGTCCAAACAGGTTCATCAGAGCTCTTACACCCACCTTCATTTTTCAGTATTAAAGGCCCTATGTGCTGAGAGGAGAGAGGTTTTTTCTCTCAGTATTTATTTGCTTTTGGATTGGAGGAAGAGGCTCAGAGATTTTCAATTTGAGATCAAAGACAAGTGCATGCAATGGGACGAAACATAGTTTTCTCAATTGTGCTCAGAATAGTAGTCCCTGAGTTCCCACATTCAGCCCTCCCAGCTCTATAAGCTTCACGGGGTAAAAAAGATGGATAGTTATATATATACACATACACAGACACACACAGACACACAGACACACACACATTTTAAATATATTAGTTTTCCCCCTCATAGCACTGCAGTCTCTCTATTGTCAAATAATAACTGTATCTGAAAAGAAAGCACTTAATAAGGCTAAGGTCAGACTGCTTAGACTTGGCATTTGCTGCGATAACAAATCAGAGATGATAGCATCGTACAGATTTATGAATTTTTTGCCCCCGCAGTCACAAACATCAGACGTTTACTTTATAAAGAAAGCTTTTAGATTCTTCCTGCAGTTTCCATAGTGATTTCATTTTTTCCCTTTTATCACAGATTGGCTGAAGTACTGCTACCCTTTGTGCTTTAAAAGGCTTGTGCTACCAACTGTCGATATAAAAGCACTGTAGCTAAAGCACACATGCAACACAAACTGTCAAAAAGAATTGAAAGAGATAAATACTGGCTAAAAAAGGTTTCAGTATTTTCTCTGCTTGTCCTGAAGAGTACAGTAGAACAGCATTTCATCTGAATAAATGTAATTAACTTGAGCCAACCATACTACTGTTCTGCTTCCCATAACTTATGATACTTCTATATTAAAGCAGTTGTCACACACAAAAAATAATCTCTTCACAAAAAGCTGTAATACAGCCTACATCACACAAAATGCCTATGTTTGTTAGATATAAATGAAAGCATTTTTATTAGTTTTTGGAATCTTCTAAAGACGTTGCTTATGCCAATTATATTCTTCCTCTTTCTAAGAAGTTTATCTATTTAGAGAGCATGATGGTTTAAGGAACAATTACACTGTTTCTGGCAAAGCAAACAATGCTTTCTCTTGCTAGAAAGATAACCACCTTTCAAAGTAAGCCTAAAGGATTAGTTTCTGTTTAACCCCTTGCTAAACAAATGAGACCATCATCTTCTCAACAAAACAGAACTCAGCTAAGTAAACACCTCTATTCAGTTATCATGCCTTTAAAAATGTAGTCCTTAGATTGGAGAATGCAAGCACAGTATTTCCCTATCCCTTTTTCAACCAGCTTAATAGGAACTGGGTGTGTGGTTTAACCCTAGCCATTTGCTTCACTCTCATGAGATTTTCTATATCGTGAGTCAGAAACAGTCTAACTTATTCAAAATACTGAATTCCTATCAGGTAGAGATAAATATATTAAAAAACTCTTTGAGCTGGAAATTTTCCAGGTGACTATAAAAATAATGAGTTTCCTTACTTTCATACCAAATTGGCAAAGTTAATGCAAAACTTATAGGGACAAATATCTTAAAAATCTACGGAATAGAGTAGAGTTTAGCAGATATTTTAATTTAGAGGGGAAAAAATGGGAGAAAAATCAAGTAACTTACTTTTGGATGTATTTATGGCAATTAATCATTTATTTCCAAACAGATTATCTATGGAAAACTATTTTATTGTCATCTATTCATATGGGGAATTATACAACTGACTTTTGTTGTTGGGATATTAAAATCCACCATTAGGCATTTGCATCCACTAAACAGGCACTAACTGTGAGCATAAAGTATGTTAATACTTTCAATAAAGTTTATTGGAAGAAAGAGTTTGCAGCATGGTGGAAGTGGAGCACTAAATGTAAATTGATTACCAATAGAAATTTAAACTAAAAAGCTGACAGTTACTAAGATTATGTGGATTACTGACATACTGCACAAGTGGTCCCAGCCAAAACTGATACAGACAGATGCAGTAGTTTTTGGAAAGGTGCAGAGACAGCTGTTGCTGCCCTGGGACAAAAAGATGGGCTAGGTGAGCTCCCAAAGGTCCTGTTACCCCTTGGCAAGCAGCCACCAAACTGTCACTTGTAGCAAACCCACGAGAACCTGAACCGATGCTTCATACTTATTTTCCATCAGAACCATCTCAAGGGTCATCTAATGGGTGAATTAGGCACTGTGTTCAAGTAATCAACATTATAGGACTTATGATTAGAAATACTGTCTTGGTGCAGATTTTTCATGCATTGAGAAAAAAATAACACATTCTAAACATTAGTGACTAGAACCCTGACTTTCCAATAGGAGTACGACTTTTCACACTCCCTTTAAACACCGTAGTTATTTTAAAAGCCTGCATGCACACATACCTCAACACAAACCTTGAATCATCTAGAAGAATTTCTGTGTAACAAAGGGGAAATGCTGTTCCTTAAAAATAACTCATCAATAAAAAAAAAATATCAAAAGGTTTTTTTCCTTTTTGGAGAAGTAAGGATGAGAAATCTGTCTTTTGCGAAACAAAAATCATTGAAGTCAAGTTTCATCCTACCTAGAACACTCAATCATGTTCTCACAGCACTTTATTTTCAAACTTTACATATATAAGATGTCCAAATGGTTCCTGCAAGGCAACTGACTTTACGGGGATTGTATAAAACTATTGAATTTATCCACAGTCTTTCCCTGAGCCAAGGAACCCTTATTAAATTATTTTTTTAGAAGTAAGACACAAACTAAGTATTTTTTTAAAACTGTTTGGGACTAAACAGGGCATTTGAAATTAAGAGTTGACTAACAGTTTACATAAAAAAAAGAATTTCATGGTTCTTTGCACACGGCTCTGGATATTCTCCTTTGAGAAAACTCTTAAATACAGCAGGAATGTGCTACCTAAGTAAGTAAATATTTGTTGCTGTACACTTTCAGTTAAATCTCTTTTAATATAAATGATTCTTCATCATGCAGCTGACAGGCATCCTGGACATTCACTCATTCTCTTCATCAAACAAGAAGAATAAGTCAAGCTCAGAGTGTGACGATTCTTCCTCCTGTCACACACCTCAGGTAGACATCATGCAGACATTATTTGTCTTTTAGCTCAGGCAGTAGATGCCAATACTTTTAGATCTCACATTTATTTATTAAAATACACTGGGAAAAAAAATCTAAAGGGAATTCTTCCTCAACTGTTCTTCATCATGAGATCCTTTTTCTCATCCTCCAGATCAGAGTGGCAAGGGGCTGGGGAGCAGACTAGGTGGCCAAAGAAACAGACTATGTAATTACTAGTTTCCACGTATCAGCGTGCAAACTACCCCCCAAAAGAAATAAAAATTATTTTTCCTGGACACACAGGGAGGGATCATATTATCCTATAAAAGATAAAAGAAACATCCCTTGTTTCACTCATGTATATTTTCTTAATTTTTTCTTCTGGGGAAAACAATTTACTACTTTCTCTAATTTTCCAAGACTATCCTCCACACAAAGTGTGTTTAATTGAAGACTGACAATCTGCAACCTACCATGATACATGAACTATAAAATGTTTTAAAATGTACAGTCCTAGTTCAATCAATCAAAAACTCTGCACTCTTAAATCATAGGGAAGGGACCCATGAGGATCATTGAGTCCAACTCACTGCTCCTCAAAGGACTACCTATAACTAAATCAGATGACTAAGAGCTTCATCAAGATGTTCCTTCAACTCTGACAGGCTTGGTGCTGTGACAACTTCCCAGGGAAGCCTATTTCCGTGATCAAACACCTTCTTGGTGAAGAACCTTTTCCTAATGCCCAATCTGAACTTCCCCTGATGCATCTTCATTCCATTTTCTCATGTCTAAATGGGCTCCTGATTTATTTACCCACCAGCTTTGGAAGCCAGTAGGGTATTTTCTACTCGCCAGCATCAAAGCCAGTAGCATTATGAATTCCCTGTTTAAGGTATCCATCATTTCTTGATAAAGAACAACCAAAGCTCTCCACTGAGATCTTTAAATATATATTTGGAAAGAAAAATAAAGCATGCTTTTAGACAATCTTTAAGACCACAAAGTTGTTTCTCTTGTACAGTAAGTGAAGTCTAAGAAGTCATTTGTTTCCTCTGAAGAAAATAAATTACCAAAGTACAGGAGGTGCAGCATGAAGTGTCAGACTAATCATTCAGAGCTAGTTTGAAGCTCCTAGATTTAAACACTCACTTTATTTGGGTCAGTGTCAGAGAATATGGAAGTCCTTCACCGCTTTGTTTTCAGTGACATCTCAACTTGCTAAAATATGTGGATATAAAACTGTTTGCTGAAAACCTTCCTTAATGAATGTAAGCATCAGATGCATCTAGAAGAGTGCCAGCTCAGAATCAAGGACACAACTAACTGCCTATGCCAGTTCAGGAGAAAATTTGCACACAGATTTCCCCCTTCAAATAGATGGAGAGACAGAACTGTGCTACACAGAAAATCCTCAAACACGTTTTACTTTTCATTTTAAAAAGACTATTTTCAGACATTGCAAATTTTTGCTAGAAGACAACTAACCTTAATTCCATTACTGTTGTACCTAACTGCACCAAGGTACAAGGGCATCTTCTTATTGTTGGAAATCAACAACTAATTACCAAGAGATAAATCCTTTTTAAACCATGTCTCTTTGAACATTACACGAGCGTGTGCTTATGCATGACTACTTCTGTACTTGCATCTACAACAGCTGTGAACGCAACTATCTGAAGTTACTACAATGCATGCATTAAAAACAATGACCACTACCACCAATTTTGGCACAAGTATCCACACATTAAATTCTCGACTTAAAAACATCTGAGCATTTTCTAAAAAGGCATCCAGAAACATGATTCAAACATATCATGTTCTTTGGTCCTCTGCCCTTTTTCATGCCTGAGAAGAGTGTCTGAAGGATTAAGACGAAGGTTGCTGTGGTGGGTTTTATTTTATTATTTTCTATATATGGTTGTGTATTTACACAGGCAAGGTCAAAAATGTTCCTAACAATGAAAGCAGACATTAAAACAAGATTTGTGATGATTCTTAGCTCCTGGGAGAATTCCAGAACATTGACATGAACCCCAAGATTGTTCTATGTCTTACAGAGATGATTTTTAACACTACCAAAGAAGTTTATATTGTAGCAGATGACAGAATGACACTTTCAAACACATTTTCATCTTGGAGCTTTAGACAACCTTTAGATTGGAAGAATTCATGGGATGAACTTTCTCAGAATCCCCAACTGAAGTAAGGTTAATTTCAATTAGATATCACAATAGCAAGAAGTGGCCTTAAGAAAAAGTACAAGAACAGTATTTAGAGAAAAAGGAAAATCATATTCAAAACAAATACACACAAACATGGCTAACTTTACAATATATGTATATAAAGTATCTGCAGAAAGATCCTCCTAAAGTCCTCTAAACTTTGCAGAACACATATTGTTTCTTGGTTTTATGCTCCATATTTTAATTTTATTGATAGAGTTTTCCAGTAATACCTCTGATTTTTAAAAAAATGTGATCGCTTTGCAGCAGGTTTGAAACAAAAAAACAAAGAAATGCAATGCTTATCTTCCAAGGAATGCTGAGAAATGGATTAAATATGATCTAACATGATGAGGGGCAAAGCCAGGCACCCCAAAACCCCAACATTTTACTTTTTGCACTCCCAACCTAAAAAAAAATAGAATCCATTTCAACTGTGTAATTTATTCTTACTTATGAAATGTTAAAAGAATGCCACGAGTGTAATTTTAAATGATGTTCTTTCTTTATGCTGGAGTCTGAGGAAAATAATTTAAGAAAATATCTGCAGAAAAACATTTTACATATGGTAATAAAATAACAACCATATATTCTTTGGATGAGGAAGACCTGTACAACATTTGCATTTCAAAGACTATGTCATTGAAGAAAACTCTGATAATGTGCACAGCTCTATGAGTTCTATGCAAGTACAAGTTATTTTTTTATTAAGACAAATCCGAAGTATTTTCAAGAGTTATTTTGTTAAATCCCTTATTAAATTCAGGAGAGGCTTCGTGAAAATCTAAAGTAGTCAATACTGAACCTTAGCGCATAAAGCTGTGAATTAAGATCCAAACTTCATCATTTTAGAAAACAATTGATCTCTTAAAATAATACTTAGCATTTATTACCTACAATAATTAAGCTTCAACATGACTGGGAGGGAGGCAAGTAAAACCTCATTTTACAGACAAGAACATTTAGAGCAGACAGAGGGTTATGTACATTGTCACTGATTAGAAAGAAAAGTCTCTGATCCATAGTTGGAATTCTCTGAGCAAATCGTGAGCACATATCCACACTGTCAAGTTCCTCCTTCAACAACTTACACAGTTTGTATTAAACTGGAACAAGGAAAAGTTAGACAAATACAGAAATGTGAACATATTCTCAAAACAAAAAAACGATCCAGACAAACAATATTAGAAACGGTCAACAGCATGCCTGTCTTATTTCTCTTCCTCAGAGTTAAAAGAAATACAGAGGTGGAAAGGAAATGAAGAGACATATGTAAGTACTGATAATCATAAAAATGTTGAATCCTGTCTAGATCCTAGGACTTGAGGATAACTTTTATTATTAGAGTTCTGTGATTACCTGTGGGTCAGGGAGAGCAGAGAAGTGCCCATGGAGGCGATGCTGGATTCTACTGAGTAAAAAATATCCCTCAGGGAACTAGTTTGCTCTTTTCTGAAGCAAAGCGGAAAGCACTTGGTGTTCTCTTGGACAGAAAGAACGATCTATTTGTGGTGTTTGCTCACATCTGAAAGAGTGACTTGATTACTAAGTCTTTCCAAAGTCAGCTGTATGAAGAGCTGTTCCTGTTGTTAACTTCATGGGGATGTACCCTGTCTAGCACACATGCTGCTGCAGAAGTGATGGGCAGGTGAATGTGTCACTTTCAATGACAGATGGCCTCTGAGATGAAGGATCTGAAATACACTCCATTGTCGCAATTTATATAACACACCCACAGTGGTGCTGTGCAGGAAAGAAAAAAGATTTAAATGTTAGTATGACGACTCTGTTTGAATTCTTTTATGTACAACCAGATCTCCCCTTGCATGCAAAGCTAAACATAGTAATATTATCTTAATTCTTCAATGTGTTTTGGAGGCATCATTGTGTAAAAGAATTGCAAGAATCAGTGTTTAAGAAAACACGGACAATCACCTATAACTCTACCTACAGTCACCCCAATCTTCCAAAGCAGCCTTAGACTCAGTGGGGCAAAACAGGACTACAGAATTGGAAACAAACAAACAAAAAAACTGATAAGGTATCTCAGGTCTTACATGTCCAAGACTGTGTATCCAAATATCCCAAACAGTGCCTTAAAAGTTGATATTGCAGTACCTAAGCAGTGCAGAGACCTGAAAAAATCTTGGGGTCTTCTTAAAATGAGAGAGACTCAACCTGCAAAGAATCTGCAGACATTCTGTTGGTCTTCTCATCTGAAATAAAGTGGTATTTCTTTCAATGTATTCCCACATACTTAGGATCACGTAAGGAGGAGTCTGGATTTTTTCTAAGGAAAATTGGATCTTCTAATAATCTACAACACTTTCTTCTCCTAAAGACATGGACTCATTTATGGCCACATCCATTAAATATGTCAGGCAAAGCAAAGAGATGAAATGGCAAAGTTTTGCATGGGCTAATAATGTCCAAAGCAGAAACAGGGATTTCCCTATTGATTTTGATTAAACTAAATCACAGAAAGCAAGCTTCATGCTAAAATATACTTGTCACCTCCTTAGGCCTGCTGTCACTGCCTCTCTTGCCTCTCTCTTACAATTGTCAGGAGAGCAAAATAACCACATAAGTGAATGTATAAAGGCCACACTGAACCAAGAGAACTTGAAAGTTTACAATTCCAGCATGCTAAAATGCAAATTAACATAATTTAAGACCAAGATAATTTTACTTTTCTCATATACTTGTTTGTTTGTTTGTTTGGGTTGAGAGTTTTTTTGCTTATACGACACCTGCTCCATTTCCTCATCTGGTGGAAGGACTATCAAAAAAGGCAGCAGTGTACTGAGAACATAATCAAAGCCTTGAGGGAATTTGAAGTAACTGGCCTGCCCAGGCACCATGCATACAGTTTGTAAAATAAACACCAAGCAGTTTGCTGATTTCAGGAGATAGAGAGTTCTTTCATAGCTACAGAGAGATTGCTCCCTTAATTTGGTCAGAGTTAATACAGAGTAACAGCAAGCAACACTGACCATCTGAAGGAGTGAAGGAATAGCATGACACACAGTAGAGTCCCTGTCTAGGTCATACTAAGACAGCGCTCCCTTAATACTAGACTTTGTCATATTTCGAGGCTGGGATTTGAAACATGGTTCAAAGCATAGCCCAAATCTGATAGAAGCTGACTCTCAAACTGTTGCTCATGCCTCTAAACCAGCAACGATTCAAAATCTTCCCTCAACATTATTCGAAGAAAGTCTAATGAGATTACCGCACTTCTGTGCTGATACTTGTGTATTCTGAAGAAGATTAATGTCTCAGCTTTATATTACATTTGCATTCTATGTACTCATTCCATGGAAATAATACATTAAATAGTTAGCATATAATTTGGGTGCATATCAGCAAAGCATGCATCCTACTCTTAATATCGGCTTCCCACATTAACATTATTGCTAGATACTTGAAACATTATCTACATAAGTGAAATATTCTCAGTAGCCTTAAAATGAGTAGCCTTAAAAAAAATAACGGATCTACATCACATCTTCAAGTTGCTTTTCAAAGTCTAGTTTCTATTATTATAATCAGTTTCCCAACTAAACTACATTTGTCATTATGAAAACAAATCTAGTCATACACACATTTTTGTCTCCTTGTGACAGACATTGCTTGAGAAAGGAACAACTAGTTTCAACCTCCAGTAAACAGCTGGTATCCTCAGATAAGAAAATCTCTGCACATGGCCAAGCTTCCAATATTGTGAAAAATGATACAGTAGAAAGAAAAAGACAACAGAAGCCCCAAGTGCTTACATGAGACAACATAATTTATAACCAATATTCATAACATAACTTAATTATCGCTTTTTTTTTTGTATTCTGTCACTAAACTGCAACCACAGCTTCCTTTGGCATCCTTGGGTTTGTTCCTGGGAAAATAAAAGGCATCACAACAGGAAATATCTGACTTTTAGTATGAGAAGATCAGAGGAGAACGACTGAAGGATAAACACGCAATAATTAAGCTTTGATATGTGACAGTTCACCCTTCATGACTCAGTCATAAGATCTGCATGTTCTGAAAAGTCAGAGCCAAGCTCAATCCCACTAACAATTTAGCAAGTATCTTAGGGTAGAACTAGAGTGTCTGATTGTCATTTTAGCATAAATACTGTAAGAATAATTCAAATACGTTTCTCTCCTAAGAAATCTTATCACTGTATTTAATGGTTTTATTTAAAGACATGCCTTTTATAAAACAATGACTCAGATATCAAATTGGGCAAATATCCTAAACAAAGGCAAATAAATAATATAACTTGAATAGAGGTAATTGTTGTTCAAAGTCATATTCTGGCTGATTCATAGGGATGGTATATAAAAGGCCAAACAACCAGCTTGCAGTGACCACACACACACTGCTTTCAAAATAAATTAATGAGAAAAATATCACTTAGTGATGAAAGAGTAGAAAGTTGGGAAATTCTTCATGAATAAAACCTCTTTCCCCTTTTGGTATGGGAGAGACAGACACAGGAGATGTTAAATGAACTTCTTTTAAAAAAAAGTACTTTCCCTATCTTCTGCAAATGTAAAAGAAAAACTGAAGAACGTTCTACATATACTTAACCTAGACTAGACCTAAATAAGGGACAGAGTACTATAATCTCCTTATTGGCTCTCTCTTTACTCCAGGATGCTAGTTAAAAAGAAATCACCAAAGAAGCTGTTGTCCCTTCTATGCAGTGCACCATACTCTTGGCAGGCTAGTCAGGAACAAAAAAGCATGCATGGTCCTCCTTCAATTAAGCACTCAGGGCAGACAAAGTGGCCTTCAGCTTCCATAATTAAAGAAGAAAAAGGCAGTTGGCTCACAGGCCATAAACTCTTGCTGAAAGAGCATCTAAGATATGAAAGGAGCAGGAAGAACTAAAGATCCAGATAACAAAGCTTCTAAGTAGAAAGAAAAAGGAACAAAAAAAGGGGAACAAAGAAAAATCATGCATATAGAGAATTACCAAGAAGGGCATTTTTAAACACTTTTTTGTTGTTGTTGTTGTTTTTGTTTTTTAACTCCTTGATCCTTTCCATCAAATTCAATTTATTCTGATTTTTAAGTAAGCATAATCACTTCTCAGGGATTGTAAATTATTTTCTGGTTTAAAGCAAAAATTCAAGCTTTTAAATTATTCCCATCAACAATAATGAATTGCACCTCTAATATTTTAAGTCAATGACACCCAGCCATAATTCCAAACATATTTTGTTTATACTGTGTCTCATGTCATTCTGTAGGCACTTGTTTATTGTTATCTATTGAAGCATGATAGATGCCAATTCATACTAGCCGGTTGCAAAACACATTTTCTATACTTTTGAGGAAAAGGTCATTATAGTCAGGGCTTCCTTGTGGAATAGAAACAGGGATCTGAGACTCCATGAGTCTGACTATTGATAAATTTCTTACCACTAGAACTGCCCAGGAACACCCACACATATAAGACAGCAGGAGGTGAAAGTAGGTCACTAATTCCAGTAGGTTCTAATTCCAAAGAAAAAAAAAACACCAAACCACAATCTCCTTTTTTTTGGATTACTCATGAAATAAGGTGTTGATTTCACATACTGTAAATCCTCAAAGGACCAGATGTTGTACTGACTGCATGAAAAAACGACAAGAATTCTCTAAACATATTTTAAGGGGCCATGAGGAAATGGAAAGAAAGAGAAAGATATTAAAGTCATATGAATTCATAATTGTCCTTTACCTATGCAGTAAGCAGAGACGTTTAAACAAAAGCTGCCTTTACAGACTCCCTACGATGACACACCAGTAGACTTATTTGGTCCAATGCTTCCTCTGGAAAACACCTAAAGCTCACTGCTGCTGTCATCCTGCACAAAGATTCAAAAGATTTTATCAGACCAAAAAGCCAGCACAAAGAATTTTATCCTGATCCAACCAGAAGCATCTGCTCACACTGCCTGCCAGTCTGTTCTGCAGACTAGTAAAAATGTACAGATGAAGAGACAGACTTAATTTCAAATGCATTAAATCATAGCCAGACTGCTATTTGGCATAATGAGAAAGACCTTCCCCACTCCTTTTCTGTTTATGTATAAAAATGCATTTGTATTGCCTGTCATTATTTGGTCTGTCTGACCTTGAGTGTTGTGGGTTTTTTGTTTTGTTTTTTTTTCCTTTTTAATGTGTATGCTGAATAAAAAAAATACTGCAGTGTGACACATGCAAAGGCTTGTATAGTTCTCTAGTCTGGTAAAACAGTACATCACTGTTGTGCTGTCCACGATGGGGTGAATTGCTGTTTTAGCCTGTTCCTTTTCAATATAAGTAAAAAGAACTGATTCATTTCTTTCAGTTAGTGACACTTATACATCCTTCTCATAAGCATTTTAACATGTGCTCCCCATAGTATTCCATTTCTTGAAGGGATTATGTGCCTGCTGTGGCACTGCAGCTGGAACTCTGAGCAAAGCTTCCTTCAAAACATTAGCTTTCTGAGAAAGAGAAGCACATCACCTGGGAAGGCCAACTTCTGCCTGATATCTAACACCAGCCAATGCTACAGAAGTCCTTATACTGAGATGAACACAACGTATGCACAACAGAGTTGAAACCAAAATGATAATAAATGCCTACAAGGACATTTGGTTAGCATTCCTTGATGTATAATGATATTTATGAACAACCACAGTTCCAGAAAACTCTTGTGCAGGCGAAAAGTTGCACTTCATGAATTAGAAAGGTCCCCACAGAGAAGAACGTGTGTGTATGCACACACTCACACACAAGCCATAACCAGGACTCTATACATAGATCTATATTATACAGAGATATACACACACATACAACCCTAATGTTACAGCTCCTCAGCATACTCTCAGCCAACTAAAGTGTCATGCAGCATCAATTTGTGGTGACCTGCCCATGTTTTCAGAGACCTCCTCTTCTGAAACAGAAAAATACTTTAAGAATTCTAAACCAAACCACCCAAAGCAAAAGAAGCAAAGTTTTGTTTACCATGAAACCAAGACAGACAGTTATGAGTAACTCAGTTTACAAGAGAAGTGAAAACAAACACCAGTTGCCAAAGACATGCAGAACTGATGTAGGGTGAAATACAAGAATCAGTGCAAGGGAATGCTGTAATTTTCTGTCTGGAGTACTGAGGTCTTCAGAAGTATTGAGGTTTCTTCTTTCACCTTACTCAAGCGTGTGTGTGGTGGTGGATCAGGCAAAGGTGGCTCTGAAAAGAATTTCTAAACTATATTATATTACCTGCAAAATCTGTTGGGCAGAAAGTAGTCTGATTTGCGTTTATAATCCCTGGAGATATGCATTTAAATTCAAGCCAAAGGTTATTCCCCTGGCTTTAAAGTCTTCTGTTGCTATATCTAAAAGGAGAAAGTTTTGACAACTGAAATTTAGATCTTTGAGAAAAGATTCACTTAGAGACAGTGAAAAAATGTCTCTGAATACAACACCACAGGGGTCCTCCTCACAGACTGAAAGATGCCCAAATAACAGTTCTAGACCTGTCCTTTTCTAATATTTTTTTTCTGCTTTCTTGCTTTAAAAAGAGAAAATCATCATCTTTAACTCATTTTTAGGAAATAAAATGGATCACCTTATTAATATTGAGAAGAAACAAAAGTTACCACTCCACATGATGAACTGCAGTGACAAAAAGAGTCCTGAGGGCACATTTTTTGCAACTGGATTTTCAATTAGCCAATCTTCATTGAACATCTGGAATTATGTTGTTTTAACATATCCTCTTCTATGACCGATATTAATGATGTTACATCACAGTTTACTTGCTGTTCCTTTTTCCAATGGAAACAAAGGAGAAAACCACTTTTTTCTCTTTTCTTTCTTCCATTGCTTAACAAAAATCAACAGATGCAGGTCTCCTGGTCTCCTCCTCATTGATTAGTTACTGTTGCCATTCACATCCATGAGAAAAGGAAGCAAGGTTTCTCAATTATTCACTTTTCCTCTGTTAAACAACACAGTTTCCCAACTCCTACAGAAAACAGATGACAAAAGAAAGGTGAAATATTTAGGCTGCTTATTGCAGTCCATTAAGCTTAAGACAGGAAGGGAAAATTTACAATTTCAGGGAGCAGCGAAAGTGTCAAATACTGGATGGTAGGTTATTTTTTGAAATCTATGCAGAATTTCCAGATTTATAATAAGTATATTACAAGAGTTGAGAATGTTAAAGCATTCTCAAAGTTGACTTTTCTCCAGCTCAGTTTCCTTTCACCTCTGTTTTCTAGCGTTCTGCACAAGACATCACCTCCTCCCTTTCCCCTGACAACATTGGTCACTAAGATCAGAACTGTCATCAAATCTGCAATGTTCAGACCCATGTTTGCTCTTCTGATGATAGGAAATCTCACTGTATAGGTTGCAAAAGTGACCAATAAGAGTTAAATGCTATTTGGGAGAATTTCCCACTGGTGCCGAATCCACGCGTCCTGGTTCAGTTCTCTCACCATTTCTCAGCAGGGAAGGAAGAGACAGTCATTAAACTCTATTTACATCAGTACACTCCTCTGAAGAGACAGGTTATGTCAGAGCCCTGAGTGAGGCAGAGAGGCATCCTGCAGCCTTTCCCCCAACTCGTCCTGGGCTTTAGCTACCTGTGCTTAAGGCTAGCTCCAGTAACACCACTGGATTGGCTGCTGGGAAAAGAGCTGCAAGAAACCTGCCTCTGCCCTCAGCTCAGGAGCTGTATTTAACCTCCAGCCCTTGGCCTGTTCCTATGCTATGCTTTAGGTATATCTGGGCCTTGCTGATCTTCACCCACTGGTCCTGGCTTGACCTCATTTCCATCAGCCCGGGTCTTGCAAAGAGGTTCCTGGCCCGAATGAGGAATGCTTCCCATGAGAAGAGGTTACAACAAGCAGAGACGCAGCAGCAGAGGGCAGCACACTCAACGCTGAGGACAAATCTTCAGTCCTCAAAGTGCAGAAAAACACTGAGAGGAACTTTAGAAAGCCCTGCTACGTGATCTCGTTGTCTAGCTTCCACTAGCCAGCACAACTCATGAGCAGAACTACACAGAATGTAGTTGAACTCTGTGACAGTTTTAATTTATAAACTTCAGTTCTATAATTTCTATTCAGTATGTAGACAAATAATAATTGTACGTGATTACAAAAGTACTTGCATGGGGGGGGGGTAATGATATGTGAGCTCTGCATGATGGAAGGGAGGAAGATAAGGCTGAGATGCAGACCTGAGTGAAGCACAGGGTATCAAATAACTTAGCTGCTTATTTCCTTGATTTTTGTTTTTGAATTGGAGGGATACACAGTCTAGCACATTTCACTCACACTTGATGACATTTTCTGGATGTGTTGTTTTATATTTACATTTCAAAAAATATACACAGTTAAAATTAAGATTACATCAATATAATCCACAATCAAGACTCAGGAAATGAAAACCTACTTCTACCAATTGAACTTAGCCAACCTGTACATCTGATCCTTTAATCATTGCTATTAGTACTGTTTAGCTGTTGACAGTGTACAGAAAGCAATGTATACCTTGCAAAAAGGAAATTTCTTCCATGCAGAGCGAAACAAATGGTAATATAATAAGCATTAGAAATCTACTAGAAAAAAAATCTATTTGTGTAAAGAATCTGAGCTAGTGTTACCCTGAGAACAGTCACTTTTCCATTTCCTGACTTGAGTTTCACAAAAATGTACTTTTATTACAAAAATTAAACCAAAAGTTATGAGTTCTTCCAAGATGCAGACAAGTACCATCACAGATGAGATGGCTAATCTCCAACTTCTGTCTCAAACAACATTCAAACCCAGAGAGTTCCCCAGTTTTTCTAATTAATTAAGATGGTGGTTGCAACCAGAGAGGCAACATCTACCTCATCATACCTTTATAAAATGAGAGTCAAAAGTGTTCTTTCCAAAAGAATTTCAAGGAGAAAAGGAGGAAACTTCTGCTCTTGCTTTAGTTTCAGCTTCTACCGTTTTACTAAAAGAAAAAATAAGTGTTTTAAAAACACACTATACTATCAATTTCTGAGCCACCAGAATTTTGCTTATTCATGACTCACTACAGTACAGCCAATCTGGGGCTGGACAATGACTTAGTAATAGGCAGCATTGAAAGCCAGCCCATCTACCTATTTATATCACATTTATCATAATGGTATACATTTTCCTTAGAACTATAATTTACTGTGAATGATTCCCACTTCCTATACCACATGGCAAAGAAGCATTAGAGGTTACATTTAATTTTTATTGGTTTTTTTAACCCAATTTTTGAGTTAAACAGGTTAACACAGTCAATACTATCTGCTCTTTTAGTCTGCTCTCATTAATCACTTTCTGAACTGTTAGTTTTGCAGAAATTTAACTTTGGGGTGGAGAGGTTAAACACACTGTTTCCATAGGTATTGTCAAAAGAGACTTCTGGTGAAAGGGAGAGACCTCAAGCACACATCCCTAAAGAGGGACAGGTTGTGGCATGAACATATGCACCAGAGAAGCCAACATGGGGAAAGAGCTCAGGCACAAAACCTGTGAAAACTTTATGTCTTTCCAAGACTCCAAAGTAAAATTAACCACAAGATGAAATCAGTAGAAGCTCATTAGTACCAGTGGAACTGGTACCAGTGGAACTAATGGCTGTTATTACTTTACAGGGTGTATGAAGAAGAGAAATTGTCTTCTTACACAAGAAATACTGTGTTTATCATGTAGAGAAAAAAGGGAAGTAAATGGTAAAATAGTGGTATTGTAAACAACTTTGTGTTTCTTTTGTAGGTGCTGGAAGAAAATAAATTCTGTCATGCTGGGGACTTTTAAGAGCTTTTCATTAAACATCAAGAAAGGATATTGTCAGCCTATTCTCTCTCTCTCTTTCCAATTCCTGTCTGCCAAAAAAAAAAGGAGAACAAAAAAGCAAAGGCACCACTCCTACCCTTAAACTTAATAATAGCCTCCTATGCATTCACTGAATGGGGACTGCTGCTTGTGTTAGTATACATGACTAAGGAGAATCCATAGCTCAATGAAAATAAAATGTAAAAGAAGTGTTGCAAAGTATAGAGCTAGAACTATTTTAAAAACATAAGAATCCCATGTTCTGCATAAGAAGATACATATTTTTATTTTTTATTATTTTAGTACCTTCTCTTTCTTAACAATTTTGTTAATTTTTTTAAAAAGTGCTGTTGCTTCAACACTCATGTGGTAGCATGTGGACCACGCAGATATTTAAGGTTATCACAGAGGCAATGAAACAGTCAAGGTGGGATTTTTCAAGCTGAAGTTATAACTACACTTTTACTATATATCAAGAAATCTCATAGGAAACTAATCAGACTTTCAAATGAAGACCAATATTGCCTGTCAACAAAAATAGACTCGGCAAAATTTATAGATGCACAAAACTGCAGAAAACAGAGGATAGAACTAAACTAGAAAACAACCTTCAAAAAATTATTGTTAATTCCATTTGGTTAAACAGTTTTAAATGGTTCTGTGGAATACTATTTCTCTCCATTTAACAACTAGCATTATTGCTGTTTTAAGTCATTGAAGGAAATTTAGTTAACATATGATCCCAACAGAATATACCCACAGCGCTGTTTTGTTCTCAGATAACAAGAGAATAAACGGAGCAGGCAGGCTACAGAGCAGACACTATGATTCCTTCGAGTTTATTAAACTTCTACAGTGAAGAACAGCCCTAAAGCACACAGCAGAGCAATCTTACCAAGCATCTCTTCTGAGGTGTGCTATTTCTTTGCAAAACTGTGACCATTCTCTTGCAAGCTCCACACCAGGCTGCTCATGTTGGTGACTGCCCATGGCCAGCTTCTGCTCAGGCAGTAGTTCCTCTGTTAAGGTCCATGTGCTGTAAGATGGGGTGTATTTACAAATGTGGTCACTAACACATGGAATGTCTGGACTGTTGCAAGTGAATAAAAATTCAAATACATGTCATAAGCCCCTGGGAGAGAAACTTTGGGAACTGCTGCTTGGATCATAAAAAATGAAAGTAGTAGTCAGGAGGGATGAGGGCGCAATGCAGGTGGTATGCAGTTCCTTGACTACAAAAGGCAAAGACAATGAAGGGGGAAAAAACCCCATGTCTCATTTCCTCAGAAAGTTTGCGCTTTTTTCCCTTAAAATATGTGTCAAAAAATTAAAATATTTATGTTCGCAGCAATTCTGCCATAATAGGCTGTAAAATATGAGATGAAATGAAGTTTTCTCCTCTCCGCTTTCCCCTTCAGGAAGACTTATTTGCCTTACTCATATGGGACTGCCATGGTGCAAACCTTGTCTTCCCTGGGAAGGAACACCAAATGCATCAACAGTGATACAGTTCAAAAGGTGATTTAAAGTACCGAGCAAAAGCACCTCCAAACCACAACCCCTCAACCCCCCACACCATCCTTAGGACATCCTAACACTGGGGTTTTTCATTAGAAAAGAATCCAAAACCTGTCTGTCATAGAGGTCTCCATATCTGTCAACCCAGTCTCCAGGCTGCTGCCTAGAAAAAGAAAAAAAGGAGGCTGCAGAACCTGTCCCTCGCAGTGCTAGGCACAACCATGCTACAAACAGTCAAGGGCAGCTCTTCAGGTGCCTGGGAACAGCCATAACTTGACTTAAAAGGCTGCTGAGATGACAGTAGCAGCAAAAGAGAAGGAAAGTCCTCCCAAAACTTATCTCGCTGACTTTGGAAGCAAAATTGAAACAATCTTCAGATTGTTTCAAAACTGACTCACCCAAAACAGAAGGATGCAGTGGGAGTGCAATATGCTAATAGAGCATCCCTTTTATTTGTATGCAGATGCACAGAATTACAGGCATAAAGATGTTGGGAAGTACCTGAAATAATATATTTTCTCCATATAAAATATTTATGACTGATCTAATCGTACATTAAATGTTTCTTAATAATGGCAAACATTTGAGGCATTATGATTGGTGAATTGCTAGGAAATCTCATGAAACTAAATGTTTAAAATGTAGAAATTACCTTCAAGTCATCTCATTTGAATGACATTATAAAAAATTATGTTCTATTCATTATTTTATATATGGTTTATTATAATAATATGGTTTAGTTTATGTAACAAAAGTATCCAATTAGATTTTTCTTAAATAGATACAAGTTTATCAGTTAACATATCCTGGGTAAACTATTCCAGCTAATGCAGCTATTGCTGTTAATGCCATGTTTTAATTCTTTCCAGTTGCTAGAGAAGTTATTTATACGCACAGCATGGAAGGTTATACTCATGCTTCTTTGAGCACACATGAAGATAAAGGACATTCAAGTGAAGAGAGAGAGAATAGAAAATTAACAATTTTAAATCTCAAATCAACCCACATTTTCAATAAAAGAAAAGACAAATAGATGGACATACTATGATAAATAAAATATGTGCTTTGGCAGCTCCTGGATTTAGTAGACAAATTGATTTATATCTTTCAAGTAAGATACAACAAGGAATACTTGGTTTTTGAAAACTGGCACACTACTCAGAAACCAGAATGTTTTCATTGAATTATGATAATTGTCTATTAACATTCTAATGCATGCTAAAACATTAGAAGCTCTTCCTTGCCTTTCTTCTCCCATTATGACAGAGATAAATTTGTCCAAATTCCCTTCCTTTCAACTCCTTTCTGTCAACACAGCTGAAGTTAAACAAAATCAGTGAGAAAAAGAAGAGGAGGAGAAGCATTTTGTTTTAAAGTGTCATTGCCTATGTTACAAATTCACAAGTATCAAAATAAATGAAGACAACTGACAAATTATAGATGAGATCCACCAGCAATCAATCCTCACCCAAGAAAAATCCTTAGTTCTTTTTGAAAACACTGATCTAAATGCTAAACATATGACTACATTTCCTTCTTAAAAGCACCATATTTTTTGTCTTATACTAACACTGTGGCCTGATTTCTGAGGAAACTAGGTTTAATGAGATCATGGGGTTTTTTCTAGGTACAGTGACTTTTTTAACTCGTAGACCAAATTCAGCCAAATCTGAGAGTGGGATAATTATCTCATGTCTAAACAGTATTAGAAGCAATTTTTTGATTTCAACAGCGTACTATGGTAAGCACAGAGAGCACACTTTGGAATACAAACCAACATCTCAAACGCACGTGCCTGCTGAAATCTAACCGTAAGCCCCATCAAAAAAATCCCACAGAGAAGGGTTTGTCTTCAATTACTTTTATTTCCTCCTTATTCTTTCTTTTAATGAAAAACAGCTCTACTGAATCTATAACAGTAAATAAAATGGTAAAATAGTAGCTTTTCCACCAGAATTTTAAGGACAAAAAGTTACCTGGTTATTCTGGAATCTCCATTCCGGTTTTAGCACATTTTTATCATCACAGTTCATGATGTAAGTATTATTATTTATCAGTTATTCATGATATAAGTATTATTATATACATAAAACTGTGTTTTATATGAATACTTATACATGTATATATACACACACACATTTGCTCATAAATACGTGTAAAGTTGAAACTCTTCATCTTTTCTTACGCAAAAGATCTTCTGTTCATGCTGTAATGTAAGAGTTTAGCATTACTAGAAACAATCAGATTTTTTAAATCATTGTGAAAGAAAGCTAAAATGTAACCAAAAATGTAGCACTTTTTACAAGCAGTCACATGGAAAAGACAAGGGGTAATGCGTACAACTTACTCTTGAGGAGACTCTGATTGGGCACATGAGCAAAATTTTTCATGATGAGAACAATAAGCCATTGGAATACCCTCCTCAGGGAAGTGGTGGATTTCCCAGCATTGGACACTGTGACTGGACAGGGTGCTGGGCCATCTTGTCTAGACAGTGCTTTTGGTAAGAAAGTTTGGACCAGGTGATTCTTGAGATCCCTTCCAACCTGGTATTCTATGACTCAGTGATTAGGAGAAAGTTCTTTACTGAAGAAGTGACTAAGCACTGAAACAAGATCCCCAGTGAAGTCATGGCCCCAAGCCTGATGGTGTTCAAGAAGTGTTTGGACAAAACTCTTAATATATGGTTTAACTTTGAGGTTGCCCCATGTGGAGGCAGGAGTTGGACTCTTACGATCCTTGAGTCCCTTCAAACTCTGATTAGTCTATGATTCTATGATTCACTATCAGGGGTTCTTGGAAAAACAGCAAACAAAAGCACATGCTGAATGGATTTTCCTCATGAAAATAAACACGCACAGGTTTGATACACACAAAAAGCAGGAACTTGAATAATTCACAACATAAAATACACAAAAAGAAACATAATACACATAAGCCACAGACTCAAATAAGGGGAAAAAAATTAGTCCTGTTCCTCATCACACCATCACACTGTGCCTTTAAATTGTCACTCACCAGTTTCAGAAACAAGCGCTTTACTACCAGTTTAAGGATCAGTTACTTTTCTGCATTGCCTTTAGATATAACAGAATACTGTTCACCTCACTCAAGCTATTCATTGGCCACAGGTAGGCAACTCCCTTCTTTGTCCTCTTGACATACTATAATCCTACTCTGTGTACTCTGTTTAATTGCAGTCTATATAAAAGGTGGATTCTCACAGCTATTACACAGGAAAATCTAAGAATATTTTCCACCAATTTGAAGAAAACACAGATGAAAATATTCTACATGATTTTAAGGACTGAGATTAGGATTATTTTACATATATAAAATATAAATTTCTGTAGAATTAGGCAAACAACATGACCAACACTTTGGATTCAGGGGCCATTTACAAGGAAATGTGGTTTGATGTAAATAAAGAATAATAGAGAACAGAATAATAAAACAGAAGCATTTTCTCAGTGCTTAATCTCTTCTTCAGCTTCTTCCTCCTTATAATTGCATAGTACAACATACTTAAATAATGATATGAGGTATTATTACTTTTAGTATAAGGAGGTTATAATTTAGCAATACTACTATTCTGTTGAAATTTTATTTATGCCTAAATAAAAGATCTCTACTTATGAAAACAGCATTAAGCAAGCATACTACCTAATTATGAATCATGGGTTGCACATTTTAAACAGATTTACAAGAGTAGCAATGTTGGTTCTCTAAAAAAAATAAAGTCAGAAAACTATAACATTAATTCTTTTAAAGCAAGATGAATAGACAATATAAGTACATTTACCCTTCCTTGGATAGTCCATCTCTTCATATGGACAAGTCTAAAGCACCTTGATCCCTCTGTCTCTTTTAATCACTTTTTCCTAGACAGAAAAATAGCAGAAGTAATGAACTGCAAAAAAAATTACAGATCTCAAATTAAACAACAGAGACCTAATAAAAAAATTATCCATTTATCACTACAAATATGACACTACTGTGCCAATATGAACCAAATTTCAAACCTTGTGGTCAATGAAGCATATAATAGATTGTCAGAAATAGTCTGTAATATGAATATACTGAAAAAAATGCTGAGATAATTCAAAAGTATCAAAATCAGCTGAATACACCTCTAAAAAGCCTCCACCTTCCTTTCTCAATTCATAAATGGCCTTCTCCTATGTGACAGTTCAATAGAAGTAGTAAAAATAAGCTTCTGATTTCTACATTTGAAAATGCTGTGCATTACTGTGGTAAGCTAAATCATTCTTATCTGGAAATTATTTACTCTGTAATAGAAACTAATAGCAAAATAGTAATCTCTCCCTCATACTGAAGCAATCTTGGAAAATTCAGGAGGCTCACTGTTATGAAGCCCACGGTGCACTAACCATGATATTGTATGAAGTAGAATATTACAACAGAAAACACAAATGAAGAGGCACACTGAAATTAATTTTTTGTGGCTGTAACTCAATCAAAACAGAAGTTAAAAAAAACTTTAGAAAAAAATCATACTCATTAAACTCCAGTCAAAAACAGTCATCCCTCAACACAGGTCTGAATTTTGGTCAGCATGAATTCTACTGTTCTATGTTAAAGCTCATTAAGGAAAAGGATGGTTGCATCAAGTTGCAATGATTCTCTTAGCAGCTTGGTTGATTGGGCTAGATTACTTCTGTAGGTCTACTTTCCAGGGCACCTGGACACAAACAGGTTAATGAAGTGCTGTGTCCCCCTCTTAGCTGACATTTTGGCCAAAATGGTTTTGGCTCTTCTGATACTGTTTCCTGGATGGGCTACTCTTCTGTTCGTGACCATTCTTTTGTTATTAAGTGAGGATGCTACAGATCTAAAATAATCCAACCTTAAAATTAGAGCAATTATGTCAAGGAGGTAAAGGACAACAAATATCCCTTTATAGATTCCCTAATACCAACAATAATTAAAACCAAAGAGTACTCAGCAAGCTTTGAGTTTTTCCTTATCTTCATAGTTCAGTAAAAAATATTCCAAGCTAATCTGTTGATATACTAAATAAGGGGGAGGGAGGGGGGAAATGTATATTCTAACTATATTTTCCCCCATGAGATAAACATAATGGAATATAAAAAAAAAAAAAAGAATCCTGTCTGGAATTATTTATAAATAAGCCAAAACTAATAAGGAATTAAAAAGCAGGTGCACTCATTGAAAAAGGTCAGAATCATCTAAGAACACACAACTGTGACTTCTTTCAAAACACTGACAGTGTCCAACACAGAGTTCCTGAATTTGTAAACAATACCTCACCTTTGTTTTGGTCAGTGGAGAAGAGTGGCTGGTGAGGGAAGCATTTGAACACATTGCAAAGAAATTGGACTCACTGACTTGGAATGACGGTAAAAATTCAGGGTTAAACCAACCCTGCTTTTTGATGCCAGCACATGGAGGGACGTATTATTTGCAGCTGGAATTCAGGAATGTCTGACTGCTGACAGAAAAAGAGCTGATGGGCTGGGTAGAAGAAAGGGGAATAAAATATCTGTGCTTTCATTGTGCAGCTACTAGAAGGCACTCCAACACTTCAGGGGATTTTTTACCTTTTTTTTTAACTCCTTCTCCCTCAGTGCTAGCCCCTGTAATCACACAACACACAGAACACTTTGGTCCAAAACATTTGCCAGATATGTAATCAGGAAAGGAGGAGTCTGGAGTTTTGTTTCCTTACTGATTCCAACTGGCAAAGATTGGAATCTTTTTGCAATATTTACAGTAATTCAGAGGTAGGATTGTATGACTAACCTTGATTTGAAAATCTGAGAGGCAAGCTAGAAATGAGTATCCCAGCACAGCTTTCAGCCCGTATTCAGAGGCAAACACATCCAATAGCTCTCAGCAGCAAGCCCCAGGACTGTAAATATAATGGCAATCTGAAATCTTCGTGAGTTTCCATTTAGTATTCTTACATCGTAAGTAGTAACACGGTATTTACCAGTGATTGATATCCAAGGAACATAATCTGTCTTACAGCAGGTTATTTATTTATACATGAAGAGTCCTGCAGCTGTGCCTGGAGACAGTGGATGCCCTGTGAAATGGAATGGATGCATATAAATGCCCTGTACTTGGTGTCAAGCTGTGACCTTTTATCTAAAATTCCTGAGGTGGTGCATCTTCACTCAATCCTATGGCAATGGCTTACTGATGTTAACAAAAGAGTGTGGCCAGGAACTCCCGTCTCCTCCTCCTAGTTCAGATTCCTTCATGGCTGGGATTCTTGTACATAAAAACAACGGGCAGTATTTTAAATGTATCTTCTCAGTTTGCCATATCTGCAAATAAATCAAGCAGTGAACTCAGGAACATCACACACAAGAGCAGGCTAAAAGTCAACTCTTACTCCTTTGTTTGAGCAAAAGACAAAAGCATATTTGCAATTTAGTGCAATGCTCATTATTTGTATGAAAGGAAAGTGAGGGAAGGTAGTGCATGGGTATCTGTGGCCAACAGCATTCAAAATTATCAGCTGCTTATAGGGCAATTGGGTCCATTCTCAATATTAAAAGTTTTTTTATTTAAATTTTATGACTTTCAGATTAAGAGATGATTCCTCAGTAAATTAATAAGTAAATTGCACTAGTGGCAAGGATTCATTATCAGTTTTCCATTTCTTTGATGAAAGCACCTAACACAGAATTCCCACACATCCCTACTCAACATATAAAAGGACAATATTCAAAGTTCAGAAATTTGCAGATCTAAAAGTCAGGCAAGTCTTTTATTTCTGCATTACAGTTATTCCTGTGAGAATCACAGTAATAATTAAAATAAATAAATAAATAGAAGGTTTTGTCTTGAAATACCTGAGACTTCAGAAAGTCTACCTGAACTCACATTAATATATTTGGCATCTGTGAAATTACCATCAAGCTCCTTCAAGGCATGCTGCTGTATGGAGTATCTTTATATGCACATCTTCAGGCAAGGACTTGATCTCTCTGTGATTGATAGAGGCACTTACCACAACGGAATCATAATCAAGACCCAGATCCTCTGGAGAAATAAGAACAAATAATAATGACAGTAATGCTTTAATCTCCTACTAAGCAAGAATCATCTCCGCTTTCTTGAACTGGACATTTTCTCCCCTATCATTTACATAAATAAAATGTTGAGGCTAACTGATATCACTATGACCACACTCTGGTCTTCTGCAGAATACCAGCCAGAACTAAACAACAGCGTGATGAAATAGCATACACAGTAACAAGTCTGGTTTTTTTCATATTTCATTTTTTCAGCTAAAGAACTTATCTACAGAGCAGAGAGGGAAAGCTTGAAAAAGCAAAGGACAATTTTATCATTCCAAGAAATCAAGTACTCCAGCATTTCAGACCACAGTTGTATGTGCTTCCTGAAAAAGGATGCATCTGTAAATTCCAGGGGGACAAGGGACTATAAAAACCTGAGAAGATTTTTATGTTTGGAGGTATATGAAATATATTGTTTTGGGCCAGTAGGGAATGTCAGATAAAAAGCTAGTGCAAAAAGGCTGGGTAATGGGCTGGATTTAAAATAACAATCCTACCAAACACATGAGATTATTTGTTGCCCCACTCCTCCTCTGAGGTCCATAAAACATCCACATTCCCTGTTAACCCCTGCAAAATGTAGTTAAGACACAATGTTAGATGAAGATAAACTCCAGATCTTTCAAAATAAAAAACATAACAACTAAAATGATAAATATTATATGGCAAGGAATATACCTATGGTAAACAATTCTGTTGATGGAATGTAATTTGTAATCTTATCTGTTGATTTTGGAAAAACATGTTTATTTAGAGCCTGCAATAAACAACCAAATGTTCTTTCATCAGAAAGTGAAAATCAACCAACTTAGTTAAGAATTATTCTAAGAACACTTAATAGCATCCAGGTTCAGTGACTGATTTTCTATTTTAAGCAGGAAGAGAGGTACAGCACAAACAATCTGGAGGATAAAAGCCTGACAGCGAAATCTCCACACATACCAAAGAAAATAACGTGCGTATGACAGCTACAACAGCAGCAATTTTCAGCTTCTTACTCTACTCATGCAATGCACTTTGCAGTCATCCCTCTTGCATAAATCTGTACGTTAAAATTTTGTGTTCCAATGGATCGTTGGAATGTTCCATATCTGCAAATGAGCCAGATAATACAGAGTGTGAGAAGTGATTTGTGCTATCACTGACATCAGGAGTTTTGCAGCTGTAGTTATTAACAGATATTTTTTCACCCGCAGCATTGACTAAAATCAATCACTCTGATAACCAGGCATGGCATGAGCTGTCCGCCCTGTCATTTCAGTCTGATTAATCACACATACGCAGACCTTTACCTTAAAGAAGCAATTGTTCACATTTAATCACAAAGATACATTCAAGCATACTATCATAGATTACTAAATTTAAGTGCAATTTATGTCTTATAGTTTGGCAAATACGTTTATGATAATATGGCTTTGGCATATAGATGTATTGTTTCATTCATTTTACAAACATTAAAATCTAAGCTAATGTGTTGTACTTTGAATCATTTATCACATCAGATTTGTAGCTTTTGAAGCTTCCATTATACACATATCCTCATCTGCAGATTTATCCTAATAACCCAGGTAGAGATAAGTTATTACATCTTCTTCAGACTGTGCTTGCTTGATAGTAGACATCATCTTCATCATGGATGAAATGACTTTATTTTACCTAAACATCCTACATTCTATTAACTGGCCCTTCTTTTGTTTCAGTTTTCCTTTTGACCTCGAAACAAAGCACAGTTCTTCCGTTAGGAGTTGTGCAAGAGTTATTCTTTCTCTTCTGGGTTTTGGGGTGGGTTTTTTGATTTTTTTTTTTGTTTTTCTTTTTAAAAGGAAAGACATCTAAGAGAGTTCTTACACAAGCACAATACTCTGCAACTAAAAGCAGACCACTCTGGTGAAAGCACACTGCTATGCTAAAAAAATATTGAATTTGAGATCTGTCAAACCAGTAATATATTTGACTCTGCGAGAAACATCCTACATTCCAGATACACTTCTTGATTAGGCCTAAGCACACAAAAACGTTCAAGTGTCCTGGGGTCCACCACTCTTCAACAAATCACATGGGCATATGTTTCAGTTCAGAAGCCAACAAAATATAAGAATATGCTGAAAATTGAGTATAAGCCTGAAAGTTGTGCTGATAGAATTGCACAAAACCGCAATTTTTGGCTCCATTGCTAAAGAGTTGTACGTAAGAGACAGGTTATTATTTGTTATGCATATTAAGTAGGTGACTCCTTAAGCTTTTAGTTGCTTCCAAAGTATTAATTCACCAACATTTCACAATTGGGTATATTTTCTGAAGGGCCAGATCCATATGCTAAGAATTATTTTTTATTTACTGTTTCTATACTAGATAATATTTATGCTATAAAATGCATACTTTTTCAAAGACTGTTGCACCTAGATCTATATATTCATCGCCTGATTAACATTTTTATATTTTACTTTTAAAGAAATGTATTTTTAAATAATTTAAAAAATATTTTATTTAATATGGCAAAAAACCTATTAGTTAAAAATATAACACAGTGGATATAAAGTGGACCTTTCTTTCATTTGTAGCCCAGTGTGCAGGAAGCTCCCATCAACAGGTTTCTGCTCTGACTGCTCCCATCTGTGCTCTCAGGAAATGACAGGTTGGATAGGTTGACAAGCAACTAAACTCTTAAAAGAGGGGAGAAAGCATTCTTCTGCCAAAGAATTTTGAAAAGAATAGCCAAAGTGTTGGAGACATCCAGAGAGTTGTTTATGTTTAAATAAATGGCAGAGACACAGATTCATGATCAGAATGCAAGTAATTACTCAAAACTGCACAGTGCATTTATTTCCTCAGTCCTGAACTGGGATACTGAAAGATATTGCTTTTTCTACCACATCATGCACCAACAGCATGTACATTATAAAGCTTCCAGAGGTTCAATAGTCATTCTGTAATGTAATCAACAGGAACCAGTCAGAACGTAACAGGGGTGTAATCATCACTAGAAAATTTAATAAAAGTGCCCCTTAAAATAGACAATGCTGACTTTTGAAAACATTCCTACTCATAACATCCTAGAGTATTTTTCAGAGCAAGAACAACTGTTAATTGTTAGTTTAGCAGAACACTATTGCCTTTGGTCTTGATGTTGCAATGAACCTTCATCAAATAGAAAACAGGTAACAAAAACACAGCAACCCATACTTTATGGAGAGTGTTTTACAGGGATACACTACAGCAAGTGATCTTATAATCTTTCTTAGGTTCTGGAAAAATATTAAAGCAAGGATTTTTGTACATATAGTCATATACAAATTGGAAATCTAGAAAAATGCAACAGCAGATCAGAACATTAGTCCATCTCCATAGCTGTTACCATCAAGGAATGCACAAAATACCCATCATTAATCGATGAGGATAGTATCTCACAAGTCACAGGTTGTGTCCACACAATTGTCTTCAATAGCTATTCATTATCCAGTTCTCTGTTGATTTTCCAGTCTCTTTTTAAATCAGTTTGTACTTCAGACCTTCCAAAAAAAGTAGAGAGACGCATTCTGCAGTTTAAATTCTGTGGTTCAGAGAGGAAAAAAAAATGCTTTGGTTTTTTTTTCCCCTGTCTAAACCTACCAGGTCATAAGTCCCCACTTATCCCCTCTGCAGCAATCATCTTTGTATCCACCTCTACCAGAGCACTTCCCACATACATAGTTCTTCTGTGCTTAAAAGCTCAGTATGTTCTGCCTGCCCTTTTATAGAAAGTCATCTAGGTACACTACACTGTCTTTGTTTTTTTCTGAAGACTGTTTAGTAAAGAACTGGACAAATAAATAGTTCGAAATCCAGAGTAAATTACAACTCTACTTCCCTCTTCAGAAGCTGAAGAACTGTTAACTATGTTCTACTATACCACACTTTATTAATTCAATTTCTTATACCACAGTAGCCTTCTGGAAGAACTCTTTAAAACATTTGGAATTTATCACCTCACTTTCCTGTTTTACTGAATAATGTTTTATTAATAAAAAAGGTTAACAATTACTATCAAAATCATCTATTTGGGGATAAGAAATTTCAGCCTTTTTTGATTTTGCCTTTTAAAAATGCTTTTCATGCTCAGATTTTTCTGTATTTTCTCCAACATTTTTGTAATGTTGATATTGCACTGAGCATTTCAAAAGCAATTCCTATCACTGATTTAGAAAGGTATACTAACAGTTTTCATTTCTTTATTCCCATTCCTTATGTCTTATGCTCTAAGACATTTCAACCTGTAATTAGAAAACTGACCTGCTCTGACTAATGACAAAAAGAAAACAACACAGAATACAGGACAGGATAGGTTTCCTACTCCTGAAGCATAAACATGAGTGGCTAATTCTTCTCACCACACACATAAAAAGTAATCTTTGAAATGTAGTAATGCATTTTTAGCCCCTTGAAAAGAAGCACTTGCTTTTACAATACAAATTTAGTTTAAAGACTTGACTATCACAAGATATCACAAAAGTCATGAATTTCACCAGTCCTTTTCTCCCCAGATCCTCATGAGTATCCTTCAAGAGAGGAACAAGGTAGTTATCCATTAAATGGGTAGGAAGAATTTCTCTCAACAGGCATACTACTTCATTGTCATATACTCTTACAAATGTGCCCAATGTCAAATTTTTACCTTATCTGTAACCTTATCTGTTATATTTATTTTTAACGCATTTCCTAAATGGAAATACATTTAGGAAACAAGGAAAGCTGAATTTATCAGAACTGAATATGATATATTAATATGGCGTAAGTAATTAATTGAGGAGTATTAAATAGAATCTATTGCTACCATCCTACTCCAATCCAATGCAGTTCACAGACAGAACATGCATTTCTTAGAGTGTAAAAATGGTTTTTTCCTATTTAGCATATATCAGGAAGTCAACATTGTAGCCATCTTCTAAAAAAAAAAATCTTTGGGGTGGGGGGGAGAGGTCTAATTTTTTTTTCAAATATACTGATTTTCTCTAGAGTCTGTTAAAGACTTGTCACAGGAAAAACAATAAAGAAAGATGATGCTCTGAATTTTGTCATCATGCCCTCATGTGCCAAGTCCCCAGACAGAAAGACATCAGAAAGGAAGGTTCTTACTGATTTAATACAATGACTAGGTGGAGAAAAAAATAGAACAGAAAAAGATTCTCAGAATCTGTAATCAATACTAATATTAGGGGGGAAAGGGTAAAGGACCACATCCAAACCAGTACTATAAAATAAGGTCACTAAGATACTTTTTGTGTATATTGTATCATTAATTGATGTAAACATACATCAAAAAATCCTTCTAATAATGTAGTAAAAATTACTCTAAAAACTGCATGGCATGTTCTAACTGCTTTCAACTGTCAAGTAAGATGTTCATGATGAGATATATGTGAAAGTATGAATAAACTTTTTATTTTTTCTTTCTTTGTAATATATTTGTAATAATGACACTACCTAAATTCAGCTTCAATAACGTAACCAAAATCAAGGTATTGACATACAATATATTGCTATATATCAAGAGCTGAGCAGGCCTTTCCTTTTAGTTACATAGCAGTGATATGGTCATAATTGACATTTTTGTCACGTCATTGTGTTAAGTCCCAGTTTGTGCTGCATAAATGCACAGAAATTCAGCTGCATTTCACTGCTCTCTTTACGTCACCTGCCATTTTACTTTCTGCTCTCTTCCTCCCTGTTTCTTCCTTCCAGGCTTTCATCACATGTGAGAATTCAGTGCTTATTCTTCTGCTTGTTGATAGGAGAAAAAAAACAAACTATAGTGTCTGTACACTACATGGTCCTGAACAAAAATCAGCAAAACTGCAATCCACATCCAGATAAGGTCCTCTAGTTTCATTCTGAATATGAAGAATAATTTAAATCACAACACTAATGCCGAAGTTAAAAAGAAACAACACACATCCCTCAAAAAAAACCCCAAACCCAAAAAAGCCCAGAACATTTTATGAAATGACAGAATGAGATGTGATTTATGCTGTACATCTAATTCTAATTTTTCTAGAATAGATTTGATAGGACACATCAACCATATTAATATTCAAATCTATCCCTTTAAGAATCACGCAGTCACTAATCAGAGCTGAAGGGGACTGAGCTTTTCTCACAGTATTCATTCTCATTTTGAAATGACTTAATTCTGAGCTATTTTGTATTCAAAACACTTTTCTTTATGTGGCATGTAACACCTACAGTTCAAGTAGTTAAACAAACAGCACCTAATTTG